ACTAGAGAACTTTAGCTATTTTTTGAGGTAAAAATAAAAAATATTTATTAGTAAAATTAAAAACTTTTATATGTAAGAAAAATTATGCATTTTACTAATTATAATTAGTAAAAAATTTTAGCGTTGCATTACTTTTGATGGCCACTGTATATCTTTAAAAAATATGAGCATGCACATAACATCTTTTTGTGTTGACAAGCATCAGCACATTTTCTTTAGCATATAAAAGGTGATACGAAATAAAATATTTTCGATTTGTGAAGAGTTATCTGATTAAAAAACCAATTTTTTTCAGGATACTATCTATCTGCTTTACCATCCATTTGAGAGCACAACTTCAGACGACAATCATGAAACATAAATCAATGATCCTTAGCTGCAAAATTTTTGATTAATTATAAATTAAACAAGCTTCAAGTGCTTGTGTAATCTAATAGATCAATTAAATATTATTAAAATTATTTTTGAAATCTGCTCTATAGATGCAGTTTCTTCTCCAAAAAATTTTACATTAAAAAGCTTACTATCGGCCTGTATATAGTTGCATGAGCATTAAAACTTCTCATTTTCGTGAAAGGAAAAGGCTCTAGAGTACAACTTTAATTATTTCGAGACATCAACAAGATATCCAAATAAATAAGTCATCAAACGATTCCCAATTCCTGAGCACTTTTCCAATAAACTTGATGCTCATAATCAAAATCCAAAGTTCCCCCGTAAGTTATCTCCAACATATCCAGACTGATCCAGTCACTAATTAACGGATCAACAACCGCGACAGTTTTTGAGTCTTGCTGCATGTTTTCCCCATTTTCACCCACCTCCTCCTTCATGTCTTGGTTTTGTTTCCCAGGAGCGCTAACAAATTGTATTTTATTACGCGTCATCTCATCAAGGAATGGCCATACTATTTTTAAGAACATGCGTAGACTGAATGGCGCATTTACCAAATACGCACGTGCCAATCGTTCTGGGTAGTGTGTTGTTAAAATTTGTATGGTCTCGAGAGCAACAGGGATCGGGGTTGATTGCGCTTGATTGTATAGCGTAAAATCCATTATTATTACTACTTGATGAATGTGCTCCGGCATTATTTTTATTGCTGTTTCGAGCTTTTTGAGGGCAAATATAACAATAAATTAGAAAATCAACGTAAATAGAATATTATAAAAACACTATATAAATCACATAAGTAATGATTAGATACCATAAAAACCAACAACTTTACTCCCGCCTTATGATTCAAAACTTCCTTTTTATCCGCCTTCTTCTTCAAATAAATGATCGGCCTTCCCTCTTTATCAAACCCATTAACATAATTGGTTTTTCGTTGCGCTTGACTCCTGATATCCGCGTCTTCAAACGATATCAAGTGTGGTCGAAAGGTATGAGCACGCCACACCACACTCTTTAACCACTGTTTCTGCGCATCCGCCAGGTTCCATCTGTTTCCTTGTAGGTAACAATAGAGCGCGGTATCGCTCATTAGAAATTTTAGTGCTGCTGCATGCTCGGACGCGGAAATGTCTTTAGTGGATAGAAGTTCGGGAAGAGAATCTCTGAACTTCGTGAGGATTTGTTGTTGATTGTCTTGTAGCGTTGAGACTATCCCGACTCCTGTTATAGATGAAGACGAGGACGACGCTTTTTTGGTGTATTGGAGTGTTGGTGTTTGTGACGCGGGCATTTACGTTATTACTGTTATATCATTTCTCCTTTTTTTTTAAGTATCATTATTCGTATTACCGTTACCATTGCAGCGAACATCAAAAATAATACAAGTGACTCTTGTTTAGAAAATAGTAAAGACTAATTAAACCCGATATAGTAAAAGTTGAGCTAATCTTCTCGATATTGGTAAATGATCAGGACTTAAAATCTTATTGGAACAGACAACTCTGCTAATTTATCTTTAATCTCATCCAGTATATACTCTTTCTTCATATTACAAAACTTGTGATTCTCTTTAATAATGTGATCTCTGATAAACATAAACTTTTTCAAGAATACAGTCTTTATTTACTAAATATAAAGAAGAAAAATCATTATTTACTAATAAGAATATTAGACTAGAAAAAAAGTATAAGATATAATATTAATTTATAACAAGTAATAATACTTGAAAATTACTTTCAATTATATATTGCTAATCAAAAGATATTTAAATCATTCTCAAAAGTAGCTATTAAAATGGAATAAACTTGATAAGATATATTTATAATATAATTAGTTATTAAAATTAATATTATTATTTTTATATTAAGAATTTATATATTAATTTATCATAATAAATTTGAGTAAAATCTTAATTTATTAAAGATAAACTTAAACTTTATACAGATATTCATGTAAAAAAAATATTAATATATATAACAAAAAAAATAATAATAATTATTATTATAATTATTATAATCTCTATTTATTATAATATTACAATTCAAAATTATTAAGATTGCAACTAATTATATTTTAGTAATACTTATTTATTATAATATTATAATAATTGAAAAGCTATTTTTAAATAAGAAACTTTAAAAATCATATATATAAGATAAATATAAATTTATATAAATTATTATATATATTGAAATATTATTTTAAAATATATATAATAAAGTATTTATAAATATTATTAATAAAATAATTGATAAAGTATTAATTATTAAATATAATTATTATTTTTTGTTTTTATTTTTTATTTTTAAAATTTTTTTATAATATAAAATTAATATAAATTAATAAAATTTATCTTTATTATTTTAATCTTAATCTTAAAAAAATTTATAATAAATAATAATAATTTATTCATAAATTTATATGAAATTATTTTTATATTATCTTTTTTTTATAATTTATTAATATTTTTCATATATTATTATAAATCTATTATTATTTTAAATCTTTTTATTTAAAAAAAAGATATAATAATAAGTAATCTATTTCTTATAAGCTAATATCTAATATAAAATCATAAATATTTATAAAATTAATAAATAAAATTTTCATAAGTTTATGAAATATAAAAGCAACTTTATGAAATTCAAACAGATAATTCTATTTATATAGTCTTTATTAATTCTAACATTTATCCTGTAACCAATCACTTATTCATGTGGCGCAGTAGATGTAGCGCAGCCATAGCACATGGCGCAGTAATCACCAATCACTACTAAATCAGGTGAATAAGTAATTTTATTAATTAATCTTATTTATAATTAATTCTATTTTTAATCTATAT